CACACACACACACACAGCTAGACATAGGCAATGGACACAAGAATACAAGAAGCAAACATGCACAACACAAAAAACAGCTGAAATGGTTGGAGCTTTCTACTTATATATGGAATTATGAAGAGAAACATGTGCATAAACTAAGCGAGCATTCTATTATTATAATATATATATATATGTACACGCAGTTGCGGAAAATGAACAAAATATGTAACAGTAAGATTTGTTTAACGAGAAGGTGCATTCATCTAAGCTACGATGAATGCGGCGCGAGGGAGACCATTCAGGTTTATACCCTATCGCATATATGGGTAGAAGTATTTTTAGGTGTAGCAGTTAATAGTGCGCCGTTCTTAGTTAAACAAAAGACAATGGCTTGAGGAAAATTATAAAAAAAAAAAATGCATTCTTCAAAGTAAGATTCATTGTCATTTAATCCCTATTTACTGTCTCTTTTGTTTTGTTTTTTTTTTTTTTTGAGTCAACCGACAATCAGTTTGTCTCTTTTCTTTTGCAATTTTTCTCGTTCTTCCGTCAAGAAAGTGTACGTGGGTCAGAGACGTAAAGCAGAAAGTGTGGGGGTCCGAGAGTGCACTCGCTAGAGCTTTTAACAGGATTTATGTGAATCTCTTAAGTATATTTATTAGCTTGGATGATTAGGTCAGAGGGCACTGACCTGTAAAAGCATAGTTTAAATTAATTTTTTATTCTTGACAATTTTCGATTAATTCCCGAAAGGTTTTTTTTTCACCCCAATCGTTCTTTCTTCAAGAACCATTTTTGTCGCTTAGTTTGCGCTAATGGCATTAGCGGAGCCATTTTGTCTTCTGACCATGTGAGTCCATATCGTGAACAAAAGTTTTCGCTTAGTGCCTGAAGAGTATTATACATCGTATTTTGATTACAGCTTCGTTTTCTTTCCGGAATATTTCGCCTCTGAGTTGATTTGGACTAGGCCTCACAAATCTAATTTTTATCGCCAAACACAATTATAATCGATCTTTGAGTAATAGTTAATCTTTCTTTAGCGCGTTTTTGAGTCTTTATCTAGGAAAACATGGCAGCTAACGATTTTGACATTTTTTCCTATTGTAATTTGGCTATATACGAGGAGAGCGAATTTACGATAACTCTTCAGATGAAAATATACTTTTTTTACCTTTAAGCATAATAAGAATAATTAAGAACATCATAGGCCATCATTTCACAAACTTTCACTATTTTTCACTAAATTTCCTCAAAATATCTCAAAAACTGCCGCCTGTAGCTTGAACACAAATTGCATGAACAGACGGACAGACCGGCTTAGATCAATTCAAACTATGATTCGGAATCGTTTCGTATAATAAAAGGTGGGTCTATCTTAAGCCCCTCCCCGGGAGTATTACATACGTCTCCACTAACTTAATATACCCCGTATCACAAGTGGTGTAAGGTATAATAATATAGTTTTATCAATACAGCGAATAGTTTTAGAAGAACTGATCGTTTGGCTTAGTTTCGAGCACTCGGCCCGTGTAGATAAGTAGGAAATTGCGGTAGTCTTGTGAATTTCCTCCCGTTCATTGCACCAAACGATAAACGTACTAAACCTACTTAAACAATACATGCATCCTTAATATGCTAATGAAGAAAGGACACACGAATAAAGCCCGATAACCATCAGATTTACGATCGTTCGACGACATTTTCACGGCAGTTGGAAAACTGAGGAAGCGCGTGGGGAGTGTAACAGCGTCAACCACTTAAGATATTAACATTAGGTCAGGAATTTATTTTGATACATGTTGTGAACACGTCGGTGCTCCTCAATTTTGGGCAAGTATGTGGTATATGAATGTTTCCCTTTCTCAAAGTTCCAATAGGTAGCTTTATAAGACATGGGATAACTCGAAGCTGGATATTAATGCTTTCAGGCTGTCATAAGTATTTCTCAAGTGTAACTTACTTAGCTTAAGAAGGTCTCGATGAGGCAGTGGCAATGTTGTTGACTTGTGAAAACTCAGCTTCCACAAAGTCCACCAAAAGAGGCAAAAACTCTCGACTATTCACTTCGACATCTGGTTAAGTAAATTCACATTAAAGCGAAAGTTGAATAGATGCCACTCGACACACCTATATTAGCCGACCTTAATTCGCTAAGTACAGAATGATTGTGAAATACGTAGCGCGTTAAGTAAAAGTATTTCAAGAGATTATAATTCTCAAAAATATTTGTGTTTCTAACAGTGCGCTGTCACTATTTGCGAAATGACAAACAATTCGTTTTCAAAAACGTAAACTTTTCTTCCACGAAAACGCAAAGACATTTTGACTTTAAAATGATAGGAATATCTAAAGCAAAGGCCTACCAGATTATCTTAGATTGTCGGAGAATTTTCGACAAATGGCCAGCAAACCTTGGCAATAATCAGGCGGACATATCGACGGACGTAGCCACAATTAAATTCTCTGCACAGAGTCAACTGAATATTTTACATTGTTTTAAATGTACTTACATGCAAGCTCACGATCGACGCTAATGACTAAGAAGACTGAGATGATGCAATCTTAAGATCAAATGCGATAGTTTAACAACGCAATCAATGAGATGAGATCATTGTGTGAGAAATCCATGAACTAAGATAAATTGACGAAATTGATTTATATTGTGCTGAAGGCGGTAGTGGCAGTTGCAGCCAGGGCTAATTAATACATTTTTAAACTACTTTATCCATTTTAATTATTTCAAAATCAACCAATCACGTAGTATATTAATTACGATTCTCACACCAAAGATCAAAGTAGCAAAATATTGCTTATGGCATTGATATGATCGATACGATATACTCGCAAATTGAACTTGTGTAATTATGATAACAAGAACATCAACACAAACAGCTTCGGGGTATTTATTGTTTCTGCTGTTATTAAATGTCTGCAACTTTTTTATTACACATATCAACGAGTGGGATACCATATGCCGACAAAGAAGATTCTTTGGCATTCTTTATTGGAGTCTGTTTTCCTTCTTAAGTCTGTTTTCCTTCGTTCGTTTATTGAAATTTTCAAATTTATATGGCTTGACATAATAATTTACTTAAATGGTCATGGCGTGTGTGTGCAGTAAAATCGTGCTCGAACGTGTTAAACTCGAGATTTACTTTTATAGCAAGTTGCATGATAAAAAGCTAAAGTATATATGTGCACAGCCAAAAATAAGGAGAGAAAGTGAGAGAGACAGAGGGTGGGAGAGACAGATGGTGAGAGAGAGAGAGAGAGGTGGAGAGAGTGTGGAAAGAGTTAGAGATAGATCGAAAGATAGATAGAGATTGATAGAGTGAGAGGGCGGGGAGGGACCACTCAACAACATTAGTGATCGCATTCGATTTCAATCTCTATCTAACAATATTCACTTTCCAATAAAGCGTAGAAAACGAGGCTCGAAAGCATATCTTTAAAAACTATAGGTCGTTCCACTTTATATATTATATTACCTTTAAAACTATGGATAAACTGCTGGCGGTCGCAGACTCCGAAAAAACGCTGTCATGTGACTGTGAAAGTCCTTCACGCGAATAATCACTGAAAAGAAGAAAAATTTCATTTATTGCATTGTTGTTATTGGTTTGCACACATCATGGAATCACCTATCAATTAAACGACTTTCGCTTAGACTGCGTTGACTGTCGGACATTTCACCACCGCTAGCACTACCATTTTTAATGCGTTCGTTGGCCGAAGAATTGTGATCAACGCCCGTTACGCTGCATATAACTCCGGTACCGCTGTCGTTGCCGCTATCTAAATCTTGCAGCGAGTCGCCTGAACTACGCAAGTTTTGCCGTTCGGTAAATAATGCACGATTCAGGGCTCCGGGATAGACTGATACACCTAAGGATTGCCGTTGTTGGCTGATTTTTGATATCATTACCGGCTGCTGTTGGTGCTGGCCATAATGATGATGCTGCTGATAGTAATGACTTGGTGGCGCACTCGCTGTTGTCGTCGCAGTAAACATTGTTTCGCCTTGCGCCAATACCGTCGTCGCCAATTCTTCAACGTCCGATTCTTTTTGTTTGCCAATTTTCTCTTGTTTCTGCTTATGCTTCGATTTACCTTTGAGTTCCGCACTTAGGGCAATTTGATCATTACGTTGTTTATTGTTACCCAATAGTGATAGATATGACGTCTTCGATTTTGGCAGAGATTGACTCAAATAGGCGTCTTGCAGTTGTTGATGCGCTAAAGGTGACGATGGCGACGAAGCAGATACTATCGACGTTATCGATGATAGAGTTGCACTGCGTAAATTCTTTTCGCTTGTGCTGCCGGTGTGCGCCGTCAATAATAAGGTGGGTTTGTCTGCGCTCGTGACGGTCGCCGCCGATGTTGTACCTGCAGTTGATGTAACTGCGGATGAAGTAATCGTACGACGGCGAAATATACGTCTTAAATTTCGCAATGGATGAAATCGCCGTCGTTTCTGGTGCTCTAGAATGGGACAAAAACAAAATCCAATATTTAACATAAGCTTATTATTGAGCTGCTTTTAAACGAGCTTAGACTCTGGCCTGATTTTTCCACAAACGCGAATCGTTGCGGATTGTCACAATTTCTCGAACCGTCGCACATGGATTTCGAAAATGAAAACGCACCAATTTTCAATAGCGAATTTTGCACAAAAATTTTAACTTTCAATTTGTCTTCAAATATCTTTCTTTAATTTTGAATTTTGCTCTATTTTTCTTCTATTTTAAACTTTTTTTCCCTTCCTTTTTTTTTATCCAAAATACGAAAATATATAGTGTTTGAAAGTGTTCATATCAAAAAAAAAAAATAAGAAAAAAAAAAAAATTCTTATCGTTTATAATAAATTAAAAGAAAACATGAAATATGGTTTAACAAGATTCATAATTTGAGTAACAATTGGTAAAATTTTTAAGCAAAAAAAAAAAAAAAAAAAAAATTAACACCAAAAGCTGAATAAATTGCAAAACGTGCCGATACGATTACACATATAGCAAGAACCCTACATTGCGATAGCGATAGAAACACACATCATGAAACAAAACAGTTATCACAAATTAATTTTGATTGAATTCGATCGATTGGATTGATAAGGATGACGTCGATACTAATATTACTTGAGGCCGCCTGTTTACTCAAAGAATGCGAAGAAACCTAAAGATGCGCAGCAAGACTGAAAAGAAAAGGTGCACACGTGAGATTAGAGAAAAGCAGACAAGTTTAGTTTGCCTATGGGTCATCTGAACTATTGCAGAATCTTTTATTGGCTGTGAGAGTGTTTTATGGTTGTTTTTGACCGTATCTACCCACAGATTTTAAGAAATATTTGTATGATATATTACGTCGGCATCTTAGCAATTCCAATTAGATTGCAGAGTCTTCCCGATTTTTTTAGCGGGATCATACTGATTCTAAAAGATGAACTGTGAACGCAGGCTAAGAGCATATAAATACGTTATGTATCAGCTTTGCACGTCAAATATTCGAAATATTCATATTCGTTGAAGAAATGGTCAGACACGACTGAAGACAGAAGAACGGGGACTTAAAGGCTTGATTTGTTTGAAGGCTTCGTGTCATATTGTTGAGTGTCACGAAAGCTGTTCCTGCCGGTTTTCTCAATGGTAGGCTGTAGATCCTCCTACCTTTAGTAATGCTAACAAAGCGAGTATGACAATCTACACTTGAGTAAAAACTCTATATAGTCTTTTTTTAGTTCACCGAAAATGAGCCAAAATTATGACCGAATTTTCATTCGCAAATCGCTTGCAAAACGATTGTAACGGGCGATGAAATGTATCTTACATGCGATAACATTGTGTATTGTTTAATGTTTTTAATGAAATTGGAATAGAATCGTGGTTCTTGAGCCGCCGCAGCTTGGCCAGACAGCTGATTCCACTCACTACTGTCAACAACTGATTACTGTGTCAATTTACTATCAAGAATTGATTTTCACCCTGAAATATTAAAAATTAAACTTTTTTCCTATAAAAAGATTTAGTTTTCGTAGAAACGGTTATAAGGGAGAATGGATTTAAAAAATTCCCCCAGCGGAACCAAATTTTTCATACGAATTTACAATGTCCAAATACTAATGCAGAGGAAGTTTTGTCCTTTGGCATATAACAACTTTGCAAAATATGGTCTTAAAATGGGGAGTGAGTGATCGATCCAAATCATTTTCAATAGGTTGTGTGCTTGGGTCAAGACAAGCCGGTGTACCGGATTTCTTTAAAATATCCCAAAAATTGCGATCTAAAGTTTGATGGGAGGTTTACCCTTGACGGACGGACGGGCAGACAGGGATATGACTCTGAATCGATCGGTGTAACAAAAGCTCTTCTGCTTATTACATATGTCTGGCAAAAACTTAATATACCCTATACCACAACTGGTGTAGCTGAGCTTTTTCCTTAACCTATAATAATATGAATAATATTTAAACACAAACCCAAATTGAAATGTTATTCAGTAGGATTGACAGTCAAATAATCGCTACGTCGTAAAAAGCACATAAGTGCTTTTTCCCCAAAAGTTCAAACAATTTATTACTACGCTCATGCTTTCGCTTACGTTTATGCCAAAGAAAGAGAGCAACATTTTTTATGTTGTTTTCCTTGCCTATACTGAATTTTACTTATGTGTCTATCTGTCAATACTTACGTTAGCCTATATATTTTGCGCCCATATACGGCATTCGTTTTGCTTTTTTATATTCACTTAGGAGAGGGTATTACACTCTTTAAAGGAGCAGGTCGCAGAGAGACTTATGTTTCTAAATTCTTAACAGATAAATAGGAACTTTTAACAGGATGTACATTATTGAATGCCGTTCTCGTTAATTCGACTCTTTTGCATGGACTATAGCTGGTTTTCCCAAAAACGGCAGCA